AGTGGTAGCGGTAGTGGTAGCGGTAGAGGTAGTGGTAGAGGTAGTGGTAGTGGTAGTGGTGGTAGTAGTAGTAGTAGTAGTAGCAGTAGTAGTAGAAGCGCGTTGTCGTACTTGTAGAAATGACCATGTTCCGGTGTGTTTGACGGCCTTTCATGCTTGATTCTCGTCTTTCAGGCCCGGGTCCCAGAGGTTTTAGGGTTCAGGGTTTATGGAGAGACGGGGACCTGAATGATGTCCTGGCAGGCTGTCGTTACGCTTCGCCAGTCGCATGGTCTTCTCGCCACGGCATTGGAGCGGGAGGACACGGCTGCTCTTCCGGATCCTATGGAGAAGCCGGCTGCGTTTTGTGTTCATGCAAGTCTGCAGTCACCTGCCGAGTCGCGGAAACTTGAACGACGGAAGCAGCTTAGCTTGTAGTTCGGAAACTGGAACTAATGTCTGGTGGACCGAAGCCACGGAACCCTGTGCCGTAAGCCAGTTGACCCTAAAGCTGTGCTGACTTTGCAGGAAGTTGCGCAGACAACTTCGGACAGGCTCAGGCGCGGGAGGGGCTGCTACGAAGTGCAGTGTGGAGGGCCAACCATACTGTTCTTCCCTTGCAAAAACCTGGCAGTTGCCAGCTCGAGTCCCTCATCTAGGCTTTAGGATTTTAGGTTATTAAGTTTAGGCGAATATCTAGATCCAGTCTCTGATCTCCTGACATGCCAGAATCAATCTATAAAAGCCGTGTCCAGTTGTTTCAGCCTAAGCAAAATCTGGGCACTGTGACCGACCTGGCCCCTTCGGAGTGCAGCTCAAAGGAGCCATACTGTTGATGACATAAATCCTGCATGACCTTAAGGACCCTAAACTATGGGAATTGTGGTATATTCCTTATTATGCTATGCAGGATTTCTATCATCGACCATAGCAGCCCACTTCTGACTAAGTTCCAGGCCACAAGCCCGGGTCCACCACATACTTCTGTCGCATAATTACTTCCTGCATATTGGCCGTTTCCTGGTTGCAGATGGGTTGTACATATTCTGCAGCGTGGCTTTGTGCATTTCTGCACAGTTTTGGCAGTTGTGTGTTGATTTGTATTTTGGCTCTTCAGCGCACCCCCGGCTGCATGCGTTGAACTTGGCCACAGCTGGTTGCTGAAAAGGATAACCGTGCACTGTATGTCACTGTATGCAGTCCTTCTAGAACCATATCAGAATAGTCCCCAGAACGCTTTTTTTCATGAATGAGGCCTTGTATAATCTTTGACATGCAATACAGAAGTAACGTAATTCCTTCGGTATCAGTAAGAGTTCCTTATTATGTGTATATAAATATACTATAATATACCCCGAATCCCAGTTCTAATTGTTCAGGCTCCTACATCATTGATTCTTGACCGTGAGCCACAGGCACGAGGTGGCTTCGACAGAGGCATCTTTGCAGGCGCGATGTGGGTAGCTCTCTAAATTAGGGGCCCATTTGGGGGTTATTTTTTATAAGGGTGCCATACTATTTTGGGAAGCTAAAACCCTAAACCCTAAACCTAAAAAGGGACAATGGTTTTAGAGAACTATCCATGTCCTGGACCGGTGTCAGTCGGAGGTCTGACATTTGGGTCAAAACAATCGGTGCTACTGCTGCTTTAGGGTTTGGGGTTTAGGGTTCAGGGTTTTAAAATTGGGTTTCGGATTTAGGGCTTTTGGGGTTTAGGGTTTTATTTTTTGGTTTTTGGGTTCCTATTCCAAGCATTACGGCCCTTGTTTCATGTTGAGTGGAGGCTGGAGCGAAGTTTAGCAAAGATGCCAAGATGCTTGGTATTTATTGTTATCTGTAAGGTACTAGAATAGACTGTGAGACACCCGAGTATACTATCGCATGAGTATTAATGTAGTATAGAGTATCATGTAGTGAAACAGGATCCTAATTGTTGGCAACCCGGAGGTCGCAGAAAACAGGATTCCGTGCCTCGTCAAGATTGAGACCGTCGCTCGCTAAACCCCAAACCCCTAAACCCGTAAACCCCTAAACCCTAAACCTCTAAACACTAAACCCCTATTATGAGCCCCTAAACCCTAAACCATGACGGTTTAGGGCTTAGGGTCTTCCCCTGAACCCTCAGCTTCAGAAAACTGTTAGAAAACCAGAACCTCTGCCTTCAGGGCTTCAGAATCTCATGCCCTAAACTCTACACCCTAGACCCTAAACCCTGCCGGAATCTCGGACGTAGAACTGCGAAGTTTCACGACGAACGGGCTCCCCGGCTCTTGAACCTGCAGTGCATCTAAAACTCGTGGTTTGTCGGAAGTCTTAGGCTTTAGGGTTCGTTAAGCCCCAAAACCCCTAAACCCTAAACTCTAAGCCCCTAAACCCTAAACCCTAAACCCTAAACCCTAGAACCTCAACCCTGAACCCCATTGAACTTGAAACCCCGATACGAAACCCCGGGATCCGAAACCTCCAACAGAAACCGGCCCTGAGACCGTGCAAGCGGAGAAGGAAGCTCTTCATAACGAGGCGGGTAATTATTTTGGGTCTGAGGTTTAGGGTTTAGGGTTTAGGGTTTAGGGTTTAGGGTTTTAGGGTTTTAGGGTTTAGGGTTTCTCTAGATTTGGGTCCCTTTATTTTAAAGACCTTCTTATAAGGCTTCCGTACCGTTTTAAAGACCTCATTATAAGGTTTCCCTGCTATTTTTGGGAGAACTACCCGGGCACAGGATGTCTTTGTCGATAATATAGGGGGCTTCACTAGTTTGGACGGGGTTACTTCAGAGTCTAAAAGGGTTCTGAGGGTTCTTAAAGGGGTTCTGGCCGGGTTTAGGGGTTTTGGAAAATGTTTCAAACTGGAACAGGATTGTGGTATATCCCAAGGAATAATATTGGTAACTAGTTAGGCTTCTACATGCGACGCTTTAGTAGGCTTCGATCCGGTTGGGTGTTAGGCGTTAGGGTAAATCTTGGTAGTTGAATTGCAGCTTGGGTGTTATATTCTGTGGTAATGAGTTGTGCTGCTTCGGGAAGTATTCGGCCCCTGCTTAAGCAACACAAAGCTGCACAGAGGGACAAAGATGTGCCAACCCTAAACCCTAAACCCCTAAACCCCTATACCCTAAACCCTAAACCCCCAAACCCTAAACCCTAAACCTTGGGCTACCTCACGCAAAACTCCACGAACCTGCCAACCCCGAGCGCCTCCAAGCCCTCAAAGCTCTAGAACCGTAATGTGTGGGCCTTAAGAAGTAGAATAGGGCTTCGGGCTCCTTTATAGCATAATCATATTGAAGGAGCCCTATAGAATAATACCTAAACCCTAAACCCTTACAGAATAATATGTGTCATTATTTAGGCTTCTAAACCCTAAACC